TTTCATTATTTGGTGTCCTTAAATATGGCAAAGCCACATAAGGATAGCAAATAAGGGGGTTATCTGATAAACAAAGATCGACGTTAAGAGGTGTCAGCTAGCCCACGAACAAGAAATCTGGGTGGCTAATGTGAATTATATGTTGACTGATGCCAATGTGCACTGAATGCTGGCATTAGGCAGCCAATGGCAACACATTACCCCATCCCCTAGTGAAAATGTTTAGTGCCCCCACAGTTTGGATTGTGGTATCTTATGTGCCCAACCCCTATATATTGTTCCTATGTGTCTTTGTATCTGCATGTGTGTCAGTGTGTATTTAGGTGTGTATATGTGTATATGTGCATACATCTCAGAATCTCGCCAACACTACACACAAATACACCCCTGCATTTCAACGTCAACATTACATACAAACTCCATCATTATATATAACCACACCACTGCCTTCAAAAACCACACTACATAAAAATGCATGCCTGCATTCAAACGCCAATGTAACGGCTACCCAGCTGGTGAGGGGTACTTGCCATTGGAGACGTCCTTTTCTAGGCAAGCTGCTGTGAAGTAATGGAATTCTTATTCCCATCCACGGTATCCAATTGCATAATCCAGGAGTGCTGTAAAATGAGGCGGAGTAACGGTACCATAAATCCCCTCCAAGAACGAGACGAGGCTACGTTTTGAAGGGTCAAGTAGAACTGATCTTTAATGACAGGGGGTCTCCTTTTATGCAATGGTGCCCTCTGAAAGGCTACACCCACATAATTATTACCAAAGCCAATTACATACATGGTTCAACCCCCACATCTCCTCCCCTCAGATAACATTAACACAATTAAAACAGACACAATTTTAACTACATTCTGGATGTACCCCAAAAACAGGGGGTACACCTTTAAGTCCGCTTAATAGCTCTCACTCAGGGGAACAACATATCCAAATTTCAAGTCATTCGGTTGAGGGGTTCGGGAGTTATGGGTCTTTGAAGTTTTGACCGACCGCACAGGTTTTTCAGCCGAAAAGAGTTCCATAAGTTTTGGCCTTGCGGTCGGTCTCCATTCGTGCATAAAAACCCCACAAACCCCTTGCCATCCACAGTAATCCTGATGTTCGCCTGAATCCCCATTCATGCTTAAACAAAACTACAGCACGAACCTACGAGCTCCTGGAGGTCTCAGCGGTGTTCGCCTGTTTGCGTATCCGTTTTTAGTTCCATGCGTTCACAGGCAAACACCGCCGTTCGTGCGTAAGATGGCCGCGAACACGTGTAAAGTCCCAAAATGGCGGCCGCCTAACCTGAGTACAAAGGGATTCGTCTGAACCATGCGAATGGCTCCACAATCACTGGGAGGTAAAATAGAAATTAACTGTTCCCCTGGGTGGTCTGATGTTCGGTATTTTGGGTTGTATGTTATAGTAGCAATAGTCACACGAACACCAGCCATTCGGTTCTGTTTAACCCCTCCAGCAGCATTGTTGATTAAGTTCAGGCAAAAATGCAGGCATAATCATAGTTCTGTTACAGCCAACACCACATACAGACACACATCCTACATTCACTCAAACATACTCCATACAAAAACATGCTTACATTTAAAAGCATAAACACTGCTTAGTGCTAAATACATTTTTTTTGTTGTTTTTTTTTTTTTTAAATTGTGGTTGTTTTTTACATTTTAAAGTTGGGGGGTGCCAAAAATAGGACCCGGCCCAGGTGCCAAATGCTCTAGGTACGCCCCTGACTGTTGCTCTGTACAATTGCCTTCTTCTTGAGTTTATCTCCACTGAACAAAACTACCAGGAGGTAACAGGACTCGTCTGTTTCAAATCTGCACTTTTTTGTAAAATTAAAAAGGAAGAACTCACTCTTCACACATTAAAGGGAGTGTCCATTTAAATGACATTTTCTGATTGAACCTCAGAAGAAATCTGTATACATTATGCTGCTCTTATATTTTTTAGTGAATTAAAGCTACTTTTATTAAGCAAGAGAAGTAAGAAAAAAATGATCATACGCAAGGCCCCCCACAGACCTTTCACTAGGGATAACAAAACATATTATATGAACCATAACTATATACTAACTAGTATTACTCTGCGCAACTCAGGTAAGCAGAGCATTCCTCTTTACAAATGCCATAAAATCACCTGGTTGACATATACTATGGGATAAAGTGGGAGCAGGGAAGTGCAACAGTGTACATGGTAAAGGAGAGGCATCACGGGTTCTCTTTGTTCAACTGGTACAGCTATTACAGGAGCTGAAGGCAATACAAATATAACCAAGAGCTATTGGTGTAGAGCAGTATATGTATAAGCAGAAAATAATGTTGTACCTCTTTTCTACCTGGAGCATGGTCTCTATCCGTTGACATCACAGTCCAATCAGTAAATGTAATGATTGTTTACTGGACTGTGATGTCACTTTGGCACCAAATCCCTCCAGTAGATAAAAAGTTAGCTGGAAGTCCATTGTGACTGACCGCAAGCACATTTTCATGCCCAAAACAGTTCCAGAGATTCAGACTATTTCCCATTGTTACAAACTGTCATTTGTAACTGGCCCTTTAAATGACAAATTGCCCTGCTTCCCTGGGTTGTGGAGAAGCCTATTTGCCAGCCTCCTTCCGCATGACTATGGCCCCTGGGAGATTGTGAGAACTTATGGACTTTTATTGGGTGTGTATGGCCCTTTAAGACAGTCGGTGGGTGTAGTGGATGGCACCAGGCGATCCTACAAATATACTGTACATAACTGCATTCGTGTATCTGCTGTGTTTTATGTGTGTTAAAAAGAATTGTATTCCTCTGATTGTTCGGTAGTTTCATTCCCTTAGTTTATTCGAATGAAACTACCGAACAACCAGACCTCCCCTGTGTGAAGTGTGTCCTCAATTACCCGTTGCAACATTGTTGCAAACGGGTAATTGAATAGTAAGTAGCCGTCGTTTGTTCTCGGGGGGTGGCCGCCATTCGACAAACGAACACGTGGCGGCGGCCATTTTAAAACTCCCGAACAGCGGTGTTTTGCCGTCCAGTGTCTGGAACTAAAATCGGACACTCGAGTAGGCGAACACCGCTGAGACCTCCACAAACCTGGTCCGTTCGGTTCCAAACTACCGAACGGCCCCTCGTTCGGTAGATAGAAAATACCGAACGAGGGGATTCAGGCGAACCCTCCCTAGCCTCTATAGCTAGAGGCTTTCGTGTATTTTGTTCCCTTATGCCAGGACCGACCGCAGGGCCCATTCGCATGGAACCTTATTCGGCTATCTCAGTTAGTGCGGTCGGTCATTTTATTCCCTCCATACATTTCCCGAACCTCTGGTCTGATCTGGGTGATTTTTGGATATGTTGTTCACCCAGATCAGGGGTATCCGGGGATGTAGGATTTAAAGAGGTACATCCAGAAACGGGGGGAATTACTGTACTGGATAAGGGGATTATGATGCTGGCTGAGGGGAGGAGATATGTGGGAGGTTACCAGGACAGGATTGGCTACTGTAATAATTATTGTAAATCCCTCCCTTGCATGGGAGCATGCTTTAAAAGGAGACTGTGGATTAAAGCTTTCAGTTCTGCTCCTGAAACTGTGTGTCGTCCAGTTATTGGGATTGCTGTTGGGATATTGCTGTTATTTTACCTGCTGGAAACCTTGCCTGTGGATTTACTATTTACTTGTTCCTGAGCCTCACTTGGATTATAAGCGGAGATAACCTGGGGAATATTGCATCTCCGCTACAGTGGGCATATTGGGGCTTATGGACTTTTTATGGGACTGGTGCTGGCCCTTTAAGCACCTTTTTGGGGCATAGGGAAAATTGGGACACTGCCCCTTTAAGACGGTGTCCCCAAACGTGTTTGGGACTATCCCCCTTTAAGACGGTGTCCCCAGAGTCCCCAGAGTCCCCAGACCTGGTTAAAACCCTTTGTTCCTAGCTATTTCCCACTTGGTTCAGTAAATGGGGCTTACTGAACCAAGTACCCCCCAGGCGGACCACCTGTATTGGGAGCATGTCTGCAATTTACCTCCCAGAAGCTGCGGTTAACCGCAGCTTAATTGACAATGCTGGGTGGCCTTCGTTTGCCGAATACGTGGCGGCGGCCATCTTTGTTCATTCGCACAAGGTCAGCGGTATGTGTAGCCAAATTCATGGAACTTAAATCGGCTACACATTTCCGCAAACACCGCTGAGCCCTACCTTCTCCCACAATGATTTCGCAGTCCCATTCGTTTTTTCATCCTGAAATAAACCGACCGCACAGCCCAAATCTATGGAACTGTTTTGGGCAGGAAAATGTGCTTGCGGTCGGTCATAAAGGGACCTCCAGCTAACTTTTTAACTCCTGGATGGATTTGGCTGATTTGTGGTTATGTATATATTTGAAGGTTGCTGATTCTAAATTGGATGTGTGGTTTTAAAGTTACAGGATATGTGTAAAAACTGTATTTTTACTGCCTGTGTTAATTATGTTAAACCATTGTGTAACATAATTATATCACAGGCAGAGGGAAGGATTTTGTGTGTAATTGCTGGGAGTTTCTGTAATGTACGTGTATGATTGGTTGTTTTGTAAAACCCTGTGGGCAGTCCTATCTAAGGGAAACCTGCATAAAAGAAGGTTCTTTTGGTGCCAATTAACAGAATGACTTGACCCTCTAACTTGCAGCCTTGACTCATGTTTGTAGGGGACAGCTATAATCACTACAGGGATTGCTATGTTCTTCATACTCCCTTAGCTACTGAGCTCTTGTAAGAGCTCTTGTTCCTGATCCTACTTCGCTCTACAGAAGGAAGAGGTTCACCTACTGGAACCTGAAGCCTGGTCGTAGGTCCAGGGTGGATAGCAGACGCTGAGATCCTAGCCCAGCAGAGGCAGTTCGTGGAGTCTGCAGTACTTATGGTGTCTACGCAGTAGTTATGGTATCTACGGTGCTGATGGTCCTTTGGTGAGTGCTAGGAGCATCCTTTCTATGTTCCAACTTCCAGCCAGCCTGGAGGCAACCGTAACAATTGGTGGCAGAGGTGGGATAATCCTGGGATTCCTAAGAGAGCTACGGAATGGATGGAGAGCAATTATGAGAAGCTGAAAGGTACCACGTTGAAAGATCTGCTCAAGAGCCGAGGTGGGAACACGAGCAATAGACCAAGGAGAGAATTGATCGCTGACCTGACTGAGATGGACCAGAGCTTCACCATGGCAGAACCCACGGTACTACCTAACGATGAGAAGAGAAAGGCTCCCCCTATACGGGCCGAACCCTTCCGTGGAATTAGTGAGGCAGCTGATGGCGGAGGCAGAAGTGGATATCGAAAGGACTCAAGCACATGAGCTCAGTCTGAAAACCGCATCACTTGGGACCACCAACAACGCACACAGCATTTCTACGGAAACAGCGGGGCAACCGAAAATCCAGTTCAGGAGGTACCACAGGCAGGAGGTATTGCTGGAGGGTCGCCCCACACAGGGGTTGAGAGATACAGGGGCCACTATTACAAGGCCGACTGGTACCAGCACACAGGCGTTCCACGGACACCGTTGCGGAACGGGTGCCTGGAGGGGACATTTATAAACTACCCACGGCTCAAGTACATTTGGATTGGGGTGTGGGGAAAGGAATTGTGAAAGTGGGGATCATGGACAATTTGCCAGCCGATGTTCTACTGGGCAATGACCTGGGACCCATGACTTCTGCCTATGCTCCTTCCTACAACTCAGAGGCGCATCCTGTCACTACCCGGTAACAAGCAGGAAGGACTCGAGACCCTTCACCAGTGCTGGAGACTCAGGTAAGACCAAACCCGACTGTGACTAACCACCCGTCCCCATTACCCTGGGATACCCCTGCAGCCTTTGAGGCTGAAACTAAAACCGACCCGACCCTGCAGAAATATAGAGAAAGAGCCAATACAGGGACTGGGGGATTAGACCAAGAGACATTCGCATGGGAACAGGGCAGACTATACAGACTTACCGAAAAGAAAGGCAACCATAGGAGGCAGCTAGTCATTCCCCACAAGTATAGACGAGATATACTCAGAGTGGTTCATGACATCCCATGAGCCGGACATTTAGCAGTGACCCGTACCCTCAAACGGATCACCCA